TCGTAGAATATTTTAAATAAATAATTGAATAGTAAAACATGATTCTCACTATTAATATCTACTTTAACACTATCGTCCAATCAAAATCGTTTTATTACATACTAATCCGTATTTAATTTGAAAAGATTTTAATTTTTATACATGTGAAAGTTTGTGAGTATGGATGTTTGATACTCTTTCATGCCAGAACGGCTAAAAGATCTGGATGAAATGTGGCACAGAGATAGATTATAATTTGGAATAGCACATAGGTTTTTTATCCAGGAAAAATGTACTGTTCCCATGGAATAGATTTGTATAAATAAGTAACACAAAACAAAAACTATGCCTCTAAAAAGTTAAAACTACACACAAAAAGAAATAAATTGCCATCTATTAAAAACTACAAACATCTTGAAAGTACACTAACTAAATTTAATATACGTATTCATTAAGTTCAAATTGCACTCGTAAAGTATGACCTGGCTAAGTGGTTTTCTACCGCTTTTAAAGCATAAATGCCTGCTTAATTAAAGACCACTAAGTACTTTGTTATTTAATTTAGTATTACATGCAAATGCCTAGACTTAAGGAATTTTATATTTTTAAATAGCAACTCTACAACACACTAATATATCCCATGGAAACTAATGAGGTACCGGTAAAATATCTATACTATAATAAAACTGCAGAGGTTGAATGTTTGTACATAGAAAAAAATGCTTAAAACCAAGTCAGGGGGATGTAAGAAGACAAATAGAACAAATTTAGATTTTTTAATTTTTTTGTTTCTCTGTCTGTTTGTCTGTTTGTACGGCCTAATCTCCGAATCTATTGAATCGATTTAGATGAAATTTTGCATGGTGGTGCCTTATATCCCCGGGCAACATCTTAGATACTTTTCATCCCGGAAAATTAAAGAGTTCCCGTGGGATAGTTAAAAAACTATAGTAACTTATAAAACTTAGTACACAATAACTTATGCACCTAATTTAGTAAAATTTGACATGCTGATGCCTCCTTATATTGCCGATCAAACAAAAGGTTACTTTTCATCCCAAAAAAATAACGGTTCCCATGGGATAGATCTGTTTGTGCTTTTCTAGAGGTGAACCCGAGCGAAGCAAGGGCGAGCCGCTAGTCTATATATAAATAGGCAAGGACAAAACAGTTCTGTACCTTTTTGTCCTTTTGTTTGTCTACCGATTTTCTGTTTTTATTGACAAGCTTTAGTGTTATCAATAAAAAATTGGATAGTTTTTTTTATGTAGATAAATAAATTCTGTAATACTTTCTTAGATTTACGCGAATGTTTGACATTATTAAGTAAAACTATCTTTTCGGATTATTTCGCGGATTTATTTTGATTTTTGGTTCCCGACGTTTCGAATGCTACGGGAGAGACTCTCCCGTGACCATGGATGTTGTAAAGCATTCAAAACGTCGGGAACCAAAAATCAAAATAAATCCGCGAAATAATCCGAAAAGATAGTTTTATTTAATAAATAAATTCTGTTCAAATATATTTTCCTCTAATTTTCGATAATAAATAAAAGAAATAAAATCGAATGTCAACCACTGGGCGAACACTGGGATCTATAAAAAATCCATCGACAATTTCAAGGTTATAATAGGTATATTTATGTAAAATAACCATTAGCATGGCAAAAAAAGAACAAACAAACTGATTTCCATATTATAAAATGTAGACCTACCTTGCCTAAGTAATCGTGAGTAAATTATTTTTCTACTGTGGCTCAATTGCCATGGTGCCTTGATGTCAATTGAAATACTCTATTAAATCGGTCATGCATTATTGAAAGCGAAAAATATAGTTAATAAATAACATATTAAATTTAAAACATCAAAATTTTATTCAAATAGATCTCCACTTTTGAATCGTAACTTTTACATTTTTAAAAAGTAAATTAATTGTCAGTATGTACATCCGTTAGGAATCTACCAAACAAAATGAATGCTATTGAGACATTATAACGGCATTCATTAATAAAAATAAAAAATCAAGCTGATATAAAAATTTGCCTCAAAACAGCAACTACATATAAACTTTTTTATCCATATAATATGCTCACTTTATTAGGTAAAAGTTATTAAAACTTCGGTGTCCTGACAATAATTGGTAGAATAACCTTCTTTGTCATTCATACCCGGGGTCAAATAAAAAAGCACAATCAAAATTCAGAAAGCTATTTATATTTCTATGCCTTGGATAAAATATTTAAATAGCAAAACAGGTTTCACAACAACGCACAACTAAAGTAATGGCCGATTTCATCAACGTCACCTAAGTTTAAGGGATCCCCTAAGCATAGTTAGGGGGCTGTTAGGGGACAGTTTCTGTTTCACCGACGGTTAGGGGTCACCTAAATGTTAAAGTGCCACATAATATAGGTACTAGAAATACGGGCTCTGACGTTGGTAAAACGAAATTTAATTTAGGGGCTAGTTTAGGGGAACTTTTAAGCTAGGGATCCTATGGTAGCTTATGGTAGCACCTGTGTAGCTTAAGTGATGTTGGTGAAATCGAGCATAAGAGTAGCCAAATAAACCGGCACAATCTGTTACTCTCGATCATGGATTCTTAAAATATTTACAAAAGAAGTATCTATATATAAATAGGCAATGACAAAACAATTTAGTACCTATTTCTCCTCTGTTTGTCAAACAAATTTTCTTTTTTTTTTTAGTAGCTATTGACGAGCTTTTAGTGTTATCGATAAAAAGTTTTGGATTATAGTTTGTTTACCTTTTATAGAGATAGGCAAAGACGAAATATTTCAGTATTATTATTTATTATCGATGAATTTTCAATAATGATAATAATCAAACTTTGATCACTGGGTGAACACAAGAGTTAAATTAATTCAATAATATACATACACAGCTTATATCCTGAATCACTACAAAATACAAATATGTACTATTTTTTATGTGAGCAAAGCTGCGGGAAAAACTAGTTAATAAATCCAAAAGTATCATACTCATTTCTTTATATTTTTTAAGCGATATTATATAAAGAAAGTGACCTGTTAAACTTGAATTACAAAATTTAAGTAATATAGTGTTCGACTTCCAATACAAACTAAAACAAGTAGCACAAGAAAATTTGATACCTGTTAAATTTTGCGAGGTCGCCTGCCGATCATGACATTGTAAATATATATTTATGTCACTTTGTTAAGTAATGATTATCGCAACTTTTATTTTCTATACACGCTCGGTGATTAAAACCTTTTCTTATATATCTATACATATTATAATAAAATTGTAACTAAGTCGAATCTGTGCATTAAATATTTTTGGAAAATCTAATTGAAATAGACATTATTATTGATACAGAGTCCGAATCTGCCTGTCTGTCTGTCTGTCTATCTGTTACCGCATCACGAGAAAACCACTGGACAGATTTTGGTGAAATTTGGTATGATGATAGCTGGTTATCCGGGTCAACATATAGGATACTTTACGCGGGAAAATATCTCATTACTAAAAAAAAATACAAAAACTGCATTGTAAGAGTATACTAATATGTAAAACCTAAGAATTTGGTTTTTGGTCATCTGAACGCGGGCGGAGTCGCGGACAATGCTAGTTTTCATATAAAAGTAAACGAAGACCAATTCAGTAATGGAAAATGACGCCTTGAAAAGCCAATATAAACCCAGTAATTCCTATTACATTTTCTTTTATACAAAATGTTGTCTAAATCATTGCGTCGTATTAGAATTTATTGCTAGGTGATAAAGCGGTTTCTTTACAAAGGTACTATACCAAAAGATTAATTCAATAACTGTTGAACTCAGTACAAATGCACAACATTGTAAGCCAATTTAATTCTATTCAAGCCTGTATCGAGTACCTTTTATTCGTTTTATTATGCCACTTATAACGAAACATCGTCCAAAATGATTTATCACTAGCGATGTTACGAGAACATGTCTATTACAGAGTATGTGTGAAATTGTTTATATGGTAATAACTCATAAAGTGACCTTATATGAGGGACATACAAACTAAAATATTTGTTTCACAATTCCAATTACCAATACTGGTTTTTATCTATTCCTACGTGTACTTTTAACACGTGAAGGTCAATATCACAATGCATTTATCGTGGAATGTGTCCGACTAAATAACACGCCCAAAATCAAGCTTGTTTTTTAAATACATGACCTTGATTCATGCGTAATATTTTATTGAGCATTCGAACTACCAACACTAATTACATCATGTCTTAAAATATACAATATTTGTTGACATTAAATTAATTTGAACTCGGTTCGTGTATAATATCTCCTTTGATAATACGTTGCTAATTTTCCCGTGTCTATACTTAAACATACAGACAATGCGCAGTAATATAAAAATAACAAACACAAAAGTACAATAAATTACTTCCTTTTTTTTAGTTATTTATGTTCCTGAAATATATTAAAACAAACACACAAAGCGAAATGTCGCTCGTGAGTCGTGTACCTCATGAATTAAAACAAGTTATTCCACATTTGGTGACAACGGCAACGCAAGTTCGACAAAAAATCTTCCTACACAACTGACCATCACGTAAACCCACTAATTATAATATCAAGTCGTACGTTGTAAATAAATACATATTTATATTTTTACATAAATCTAAAAATGTATTTTGTTTGACAATTTTCCATAACACTTTCTTAGTTTACGCGAATATTTTACATTTGAATTAAACTATCTTTTCACATTTTTTTGTGGATTTATTTTTAAGATTATTATACATATATAAAGTTGTTACAGAGAGTTGTAATATGATGTGACATTTGCGACATCTAAAAAATTAGTCTTTCCCGTAAACATGGTGAAGCAATCTAAAGCTCGGGAACCAAAATTCTCAATAAATCTGAGAAAAAATCTGAAAAAATAATTATTAATCCTGAAAGATAATTTAATCTAAAACAAGTTTCCATACAACAAAAACAAGTATAAGAGCATTAAAATAAAACCCTTAACCTTTGTTGTTACAGAGCGAGTCGAGCTACACCTCTTCAGAAGAAGGCTGCGGTGGTGGCGAGCGCCACGCTGTGCTCAGCTACGAACAAGTGCGCAGACTAAATGACGTTATGGACGAAGTGGTGGCGATACCTGGCCGCGGCAACTTCCCCACACTGCACGTGCGACTGAGGGAGCTCGTCGCAGGGGTGAGAGCTCGCCTCGAGGCCGCGCAGACAGAGGGCGGTGCGGGCATCGCAGTCCGTGATGTGCGTTTAAACGGCGGCGCCGCCAGTCACGTTCTAGCCGATCGTCCGCAACCCTATTCCGACATCGACCTAATCTTCACAGCGGAACTGCCAACTGCACGCCATTGCGATCGCGTGAAAGCCGCAGTTCTTGGTCATCTGTCCACTTTGTTACCGGCCACAAACCCCCGACGTCGCGTCACTCCGGCCGGATTGAAAGAAGCGTACGTCTCAAAAATGGTGCGCGTCAACTCAGACGGTGACCGCTGGTCACTCATCTCGCTCGGAAACTCTCGCGGCCATAAATCAGTAGAATTGAAATTCGTCGACACTATGCGCCGCCAGTTTGAGTTTTCTGTCGATTCGTTCCAAATTGCTTTGGACTCGCTGCTCGCATTCCACGAATGCGCTCAGCTGCCGATAGGCGAGAACTTCTACCCGACTGTGGTAGGTGAATCCGTATATGGAGACTTCAGTGAAGCACTCCTCCATCTATCAGAGAAGCTGATTGCGACACGACAGCCAGAAGAGATTCGAGGCGGTGGTCTCTTAAAGTACTGCGCCCTTCTGGCAAAAGCCTACCGGCCGGCACGACCAGACAAAATAAAAACCCTCGAGCGCTACATGTGCTCGAGATTCTTCATAGATTTCCCGGAACTTGGACAACAACGTGCCAAGCTCGAGGCATACTTACGGAACCACTTCGTGGGGCGAGAAGAGGAGGCGCTAAAGCACAGGTGAGAAACTATATTCAATATACTTTAAAGAAATACAGTAGAATACTGAGATATTTATTACTCGGGTGGGATGTTTAATATAGTTTTTACGATTACTATTGTGACAGCAAATAAAACCACTAAACATATCCATTAAGTAATAAAAAATAATAAATTAAAGACACAAATGTCAACCGGTTTCAGTCGTATCTTTCAATTTGTTTTGTCCTACTCATTGATACGTCCGAAATTGTTACAATTCATAACTGTCTATTACGTATTCAATTGTAATATGTAACCATTTCATTCATCTGGAGTCATTGACACTATACATTACGTAGTACAATAAATATATAATACTAGATACAATGTACATATATACCTTAGCGCTGTATCTCTGGCGGGTCAACCAAAGAGAATATAGTGCCAAGCGCAACGACCTACATATCTGCTTGACTTCCAATGTCATCAGTACTATATGGTAAAAAATAAATTAGACGAAAATGACCAATAAATGCGAAAACTTGTGTGTTTGTGTTTGTTTCCTCTTTACGCTAGAGCGGCTCACGGATTTAGATGAAGATGTTTAGACTGTTCATATGTATATGATCTGTACCGATATATAGGCTAGTGTTAGTAAGTTCCTAGTATTAAATAAAGTCCTGTCAACAGGTACCTGACGCTGTTGCATGGCGTGGTGCGAGAGTCGACAGTGTGCCTGATGGGACACGAGCGACGGCAGACCTTAGCCCTGATCGAAGCACTCGCCTGCCGTGAGCTCTGCGCTCGGACCCCCATGCTGCTACCAGGGATGGGTATGGTCCCGGTACTCCCCCCGCCAGGCTACTACCTGTGCGTCACGTGCGCCACCTGCCCGGCGTGCGCTGCGTGCGCCACCGCCTGTTGCGACTGCTCACTATGCCCCGCGTGACAACCCAAACAATCCAATCAATTTAGTGCCAAATGTATATAATCGATTGTATATAGCTTCTCAGACCGGACCAGTCAATTCGATCTTGCTCATCTAATCCACGTCAATTCGGCGACTCGATCGTTCCATCACATGCCAGCCCCGTGCGATATTTCTAGTACTCCTTGCGTGTTACCCCGCTAATATGTTAGCAGTACGAAATTATTTGTTGCGGCGTTAGGATAAGCCCAAGTCGATGGTCTGCCTTTGAAAAGACTAGATAGTTATTTTTAAGCTTCGTATGTAAATTCCGTAATATAGTGGCATGTCTCTCAGACCGCGGAATTTTTGAGAAGGATGGATCACACATCGCAGACGTCTTGCTTACCTGTCTGGCCGGCGGATGGGCTTCAGGCATTCCCCAGGTTTCAAATTTGGACTAAACCCTGAGAGCAGTCGCGTGATTTTGGACGTCGGTTTCGTGGCAGATATGAAGGTTCCGTTCCTCGATATAAAGTAAAATCTATTTTACTATCATATTTATTCATGTGAAGTATGTATACACTTACTGTCGTGATTGCTTTAGTATTGTATACGGCTTGGAGTAAGTAACAAAATAAGATAATTATAAAGGAACAAAAAAATTAAAAAAGTAAAAAAAAACTAATATAATATAAACTAAGGTGTGTACAATATTAAAGTGTATGTTAAACACACATATATGAATATTTTAAGAGCGTTTACAAGTAGTCATGTTAGTAACAGAGTACTTAGGGAGTTTTTTTTTATTCTAACATCTAAAACAACAGTAGATGGTATGGAAAATGTGATTTAATTGTTGTACTTGTTGTAGATTAACGTCTAATGTTGTCGATGATTATACATACCTCAGACTAACGAATTGTATAGACGAAGCCCGCCTAAATGAATGTCGAAGTAAAAATAGCGTGATTAGCTGTTTATGCTACTATCTCGATTTTACCATACAGATCGTTTCTATAAAGAAGGATTTTATTTATGAACTAGTTAAATTATTACACAATTTTTGAGAATCAAATATGAATAAAAGAAATAATGAAATAGAAATGGCATAATATTAGATTTTTTTCTAACCGACTTCCCAAAAGGAGGAGGTTCTCAATTCGTCGGATTTTTTTTCATTATAATAAAATCCCTTAGCTATTTTTATTAATAACATTTATTTACTTATCGCTCAGTATATATATTTTAAAATATTAATGTTTGGCTTCATGTTTAGTTCTGACACGGTCTATATTATTCCTCAGTCTGAGATACATACATACATACTAAATAGCTATATTATATAGATAAATTCATAGAGTTATATTGTATTGTTGTATTTTAAATATAAAGATATACGAATGAAAGTGTCCGGCCAACGTGCGTGCAGCCATCAGTCTTAATATAAATAGACCTGATCCGTAAACGAGTACAATGTATATTATCTTTGAAACATAACGAATTTCATATTGCTCACTATCGAACCAAAATTTAAGATCTCATTTTAATTAGCCTTCGAAATTTTATATTTGGTAAATCACTTTTGTGACTGCTTCAGTGTCTTTAACTATGGATTGATCGATCGCTAGCGTTTACTATTACTGACGATACGCCAATGGATATAGTAAATAACGTGACTTTACTACACAATTCATAGTTGAGATACAATTTTCGTCAACATTTACATTCTGTCCATACTTTGGGTTTATTTAAGGCCTAAATTATATACTAAGCGCTAGAATGTGTCAAATTATTTTGCGGTGTCGTCAATTTTTTATTCTATCAAAGTATGGGTGGAACAAATATCATATTCTTCGACAGTTGTACTTAGTTATAAATTAAGTACATGCATAGTAGTATGAAATTAAAGTATATTCCATATAAGAGTGATCGTAAGTATATTATCAATAGAGTAATATTCTATGAGACAGGCGTCTAAGTTGTGATTCGTGTTTCGGCAGATATTTTGAAATCTTTATTATTGTCTTTTTTAAAGGCTTAGTTTTACAAAAAATACACTATTTACATTAACTATCTATTAGAAACATGTTGTATTTAAAAGATATTTAACCGACTTTCTTTAAAAAGGTCAATCTCTTCTTTAAATTTGTATTTTAATCGTTATTAAATTAAATAATTCGATTTATTTTACGATGATTTGTAAATTCATTTTGAAATTTCATTTTTTTTGTTATATTTTAGTGTTTTTAGTACATTTTTTGTAAAATTAAGTTTGAACAACTGTGATTATAAAGTAGATCGATTAATTATTGGCATCAGCTCTTATCTACCTCCTATATAAACGATTACTTCCGTTATACATACGATTGTATATTTTTTATCTAAACTTGTACTTATTAAGGAAACAAAAAGCAAAGCTTACTGTTCTATATGTTATAAGTATCATATATATTTTATGTCAACACATTTTCCTATGTAAAGCCTCGTTTAGACTAAGACACTAATACACGGTACACTCAGTGTATACACTTAGTGTCTCTGTGTGAACGCGAGTGTATAATGTCTTACAATTGTTCTAAAACAATGTCGTACTAGAAATCGGAACGATTGTGTTAAATTTCCATTTTTTCTACATATAGAATTTTATCTTTACATAAGGATGTTATTTGTATGACCTTGTTTTAATCAAACTTTTGGCCTATTTTCAAATAAAAACCGTTCCCAATAACCTATCTATCTTTCTCCTTACTAGAGATAGGAGTGTGACATAATATGTCAAATTTCTATCTCCAGTAAGGAAATAGAAAGATAAGTTATTGAGAATCGTAAGTCGAAGTACCGATTGTATACGGAGGTGCTTGTCTAAACCTACCAGTTAACTTCAACGGTCTGTTTTACCGAGAGACATTGCAATATATGTTAGATTTATCTCCCATGGTTACCATCAGTTTCTGCTAGCCTTATAAAATTGTATGTATTTTTTAATTTTCTATACATTGGTTTATGGCGCTTGTGTGTTTTATGTTATACTATTTAATTATTACACATATAACTCATTTATTCTATAATAATATCAATGTTGAGTTATATTATAAGTATTTATCCGTTAGCAATTGCCAAGTTTTATTCGTCGAAGTTTATTGTTGGAAAAAATTATAGATGTAAGAAAAACAAATTGTTACGATTTATTATTAGATTGTTTGCTTGAAAATATTGAAACCACAAGCGCCTAAAATTTGTTAGCGTTGTACGGCGACTGAGCAATAATAATGCGAGAAAAATGGTGGAATTGAAATATATTACGCAAATTCTATATAAACAAATTGGAAATGCCATAGAAATGTAAAGAATGTTACTACAATAGATGTAATTTGAATATTAACGCATAAAATATATATAATAATGGTTTCTCTCGCCGATAGCCATATGTAATAACAAGATTATTTTGCACTTATGCGTCAGTCGACGTGTTGTGACGTCAGTATGTAATTACATATAGAACAAAAACACTATACAGAACAAAAACTATTTAAAACATCATTTTTTTTGCATTACTATTGATTTTGTTATTGCCGTCATGTTATTCGGTGCATATATAATTTGTTGCAAACCGAATATTATTAGATGTCGAAGTTCATTTAAGGATATAATCGACTGGTCGAGCTCGAGTTACTTAGCGGTAAAACCTATTGAAAATCGCTAAAAATCTCTTGATATTTGGACTGTAACAAGTTTAAAGTACGGTCAGCAGCAAAAACACTATAATAAGATAAAAACCCTATAAAAATAAGTTTTTCGTTGCTGTCTGTACGTGTACCGTCAACAACGCATGTCGCGATCCGCTCATATGTTAAAAGCGGCTTCGCGGCTACCCGACTCTCTAGGTAAGGGGACGATAGTATATAACGCCTTATGTTTTATAAGCTTATTGAATAGTTTTTATCAATATTTACATTTATTACTAGTTTATTTTGTCTCTTCCAAGTGGCCTGTTTCGTAACGCGCGTGGAAACGCACTGTTTGGTTACATAACCATATATTTGTGAAGAGTTTTAAGATATTGTAAATTTTACAGAAAACTAAATAAAAAATGTTGTGAAAATAAATTATAAAAAAGTGATAAACAGTGAAGTTTTGTGTATTATTTCTACCTCCTTTATTTAAGTTTAGTTCTGAATGAGATGTTTATATAAGAAATAACAACTGATATGAAACAGGTTTAAGAAAATTTATTTCTATTAAACTAAATGGTATAATATTTTTTTATTTAAACAAAAACCTAATAAAATAAAGTTCCGGAATGACAAATTTGAAAAGGCTCCAAAAATTACCTTCATGAGCTCAAAAAATAGCACCAAATACCTGTTTAACTAAAAAGGTACAATGACTTAAAAATTAATTTAAGTATAATTAACTTACAAATTAAAAGTCAGAAAATTTGCCTAGGAAAGTGAACGGGCATTGTAGGGCTCCTGCTACGCAAAGATGGAACCTAAAACCTGATGGTGTCAACCAAAAGAATTATCCATACTCCCAGTCACCTTTTTTCCATACGTAGGAATTTCTTAAAAAATAATAATATCTAACCCTTAATCATGTAATGCAAAACATGGATATAGATAAACTCTCAAATAATTATAGAACAAATCACGCTCTATTACATGCGAAAGGCAATGTGTGTATGTTTGTCACTCCTTGATGGATTTAGATAGATTTAGTATACAAATAATAAAATTAGCAAAAGCGCTATCTGTGTATATATGTATAACACCTGCAAGGGTAATGCTTCGCTCGGGTTCGTACCTAGTGAAACCTGACCGTGCACTTTATTAGGATTAAAAGCCTACCTGCTATTCCAGACTATAATGTATTTTTGTGCCAAATTTCATCCAGATCCGTTCAGCTTTTCTGGCGTGATGAACATCCATCCATCTAAACTTTCGCATTTATATAGTAGTAAGATTATAAATACTAAAGGCAACTAGAACTAGTCAGTGAGTAAATTAGTATAATATAGAGCTTGTCTATTTAATCAC